CTGTGTAATCGACGCACATTCTCCAAGTCGGGGGCTTCGGTGCCAGGACCACGTTTGCCAACCATTCTGGGTATAATACTTCCTTGATGTGTTTAATAGCCAAGAGCATAGCCACCTCCTTCTTCACGAAATCCCTTCGTTCCACCGAGAGGTGTCTTCTCTTCTGCTGGATCGGCTTCACCGTCGGGTCGACCGCTAGCCTGTGAACGGCCACACTTCGGTCCAACCCCGGCATATCCTCAGGGCCCCATGCGAAGATCACACTGAATGTGACCAACACTTGGATGATCTTCTCTCTCATCCCGGCTGGGAGCCCCAACCCGATTTTGATCTTTCGCTCCGGGTGCCCGGGATCGATATGAACTTCTTCAACCTCGGAGGTGGGTTCAGCGCGGAGCTGGCCATCCTCATACTTCATGGCTTTGCTGTTGATAGTGTGGACCCTGAGGTCCTTTTGTCCGAGTTGTTTGCACGCCTTCATGTAACAACTCCGGGCCATCCTTTGATCTCCCCGAGCTATCCCGACCCCGTTCGGGGTGGGGAACTTCATACATAAATGCTCCTGAGAGATAATGCATCTCAAGTCCTCCAACGCGGGTCTTCCCATGATGATTTTGTGCGGACAGGTTAAACGTACGACAATGAACTCCAGGTTCAACTTTGCTACACAGGGTTCTGAACCCACCATCACAGGCAACACCACACTGCCTTCCGATTCGATTGAGTCCCCGGTAAATCCGGATAAAGGTGTTCTTACCGGACTCAGATCCGCCCCGCTCAGACCAAGGCCTTGGAATGTGTCGTAATACATTACGTTCACCGAGCTTCCATTGTCTACTAGAACTCGATGAATGATTGTAGTGTTGATCTCCACCTTAATCATTAAGGCGTCCCTATGCGGTGGTGGCATGGGTGGTAGGTCATCATCAGTGAAGTAGATCGGATCTCTTCTCATCTTCTTTCCTGCAGGTACCCGGGTAATTTCCCCGACGTACAAGGATCGAGCCCATCGTTTCCTTTCGCCTGACGTGTCCCCTCCTTGGGGGCCGCCCACGATGTAGGAGCATCTGTGATGCTTCCGGGCTCCCTCCCCTAGGTCGCACTCGTCATCCTCGGACAGAGCCCCGAGCTCGTGCTTCTTTGGAGGTTGGTCAAGGGGCTGTTTCTCCTTGGACGTGGTGGCTTGATCGGAACGCCTCCATGTCAGGTTCCTCCCTTTCTGGGCATTTCCCGGTTTTCCTACAAATTGGCCCAAATATCCTTGTTTGATAAGTGCCTCGATTTGTCTGCGGAGAACGATGCATTCGTCCGTATCATGCCCGAAATTTCGGTGAAACCTGCAGTACTGGTCGGTGTTGCGTTTGGCAGTGACCACGTCACATTCCTCTGGGAAGGAAACCAAACCCTGCTCCTCGGCATAGTCGAGGACCGTCCCGACCGGTTGAGCCAAAGGTGTCAGAAGTTTGGTAGGTAGGAGCGGACCGTTCGGGACGTCCGTCCTTCCCTTGTTCTTATTCTTCTTACCTTTGAACCGGCCGCCCTTTCCGCCAGATTTCCTATCGGCATCTTCATCATCTGGGTCACCACGTCTTCCCCTGTCCTTCGTATCTTCTTTCTTTCCATCCTCTTCATCTCTTTTCCTCTGTTCAGCGTCCTCTGCCTCAGCCTGACGGTCAGCCCGCCTCAGGGCTTCCTCGTATAAAGCGGGTGGATTCCTAACAAAATCCTTGTAAAGTTCTCCTGATCGGATAGAATTTGTCAGCATTGCCACTCCGGTCCTGTCGTCAAGGCCCTGAACCTTGACCGACTCGACCCTCCATCTTGCCAGGAAAGTGGACAGGGCCTCTTTCTTTCCTTGCTTCAGGCTAAACAGGTGGCTGAAATTCTTCTTCACATCTCGTGAGCCGGCGAACCTCAAGAGGAAGTGCCTAGCCAACTCCCTGAAGTTCCCGATGCTCCCATCGGGCAGTGTGTCATACCATTCACGAGCCGGGCCATCTAGAGTAGCCGCGAATCCTCTGCATCGTATGGCATCTTCGTACCCCATCATGACCATATATGACAGGTAACGTGATATGTGGTGTTGCGGGTCTGAAGTGCCCTTGTAAGTATCCACATTGCAAGGTTTGTAGCCCCTTGGCAACGGAGCCTCCATTATGGCACGAGTGAAGGGCTCCGGGATATGGAGGTCGGCCACGTATGACTCTCCCCCAACAACCCTCCTCCTTAGCTCGTCCAACCTTAGTCTGAGATCCTCCACAGCTTCCGGCGCCGGTTCCTCTGGCACGCGTCCAGCACGGGGCTGGACCCGCACATAGGATTCTGCGACTCTTTCACGCGCGTGAGGCCGACGGCCACCACGGGGGCCTTCTATGGAACCGGTTCGACCGCTCAGACGACGGGGGTGATGAGAGAAGTCATCCCCGCCCTCCAGTGACGAGTCTCGGTGGGGCCCTCCTCTTTCGGGTCGTCGAGGCTGCTCGACCCGTCGGGACATATGCTCCCTCCGGGGCAAGGATTCCCTTCGTGATTCGTCCAAACTAGTATGTCGCCCTTCATATCTCCCAGAGGAAGTCTCGATGTCTTCAGGGGCGGCGTGCCTCGGAGTTTCATGATTAGCTCTCTGCGGCATCATCCCCAGGAAATTCTGAGCCAAAGCCCCAATGGCACGCGTGGCCTCCTGTAGCGCCCGCACTCCAGCGTCAAGTCGGTTCGTGCGCGGAGCCCGACGACGGCGACCTCCAATCCGATCACGAAGGGATTGTCTGTCATGACTACGGCTTAGCGAGCCCCTCAGGTCCCCTGAGCCCGACAAATGGCTCCGGAGATCTCCTATCGGTCTCACCACCTGGCTTCTCACACGATGGCCATTGGGTTGTTCTGAATGCTCGGTGTGAACGGAAACTCGCTCTTGCCTTGATGATCCTGCCATTTTCCTCCTCAAAGATTCTACCGAAAACTGAGAGAACAACTCGGCTCTCAATGAAAGCACCAATGTTGGTAGAAAATGTGTTGAGTAGAAAATTCGGCAGCAATTCAGTACAGTAAAAGTGACTTATCCAATACAACAAGAGGGGCGGCCTATTTATAGGCGCTTACAAGAGGTTTCTTGAATACTAATGGGCTTGGCCCAATTAAACAACTAAAACAAGAAGCCTGATCCCAGGCCAATGGGCTGGTCGGGCCCAGAGTTAAACTAATCAATCCAAGGACCATATTATCTAGTCGGACCGTGTGTTGGGCCTGGTTCGCGCCCGAGCCCAGGCATATTGGGTCGATAGTATTGGACCTGGCCCATTATCCCAACAATATATATAATATATATTTTATTTATATTTAAAATTCAATTTAGAAAAATCGTTTCGTATTTTTCTGTTTTATTTTGCAGAAAACGTTGATTGTAGGGTCGATAATCACGATCCTTCTCGAGTTTCGGGAATCAGTGGCAGTTCTTCAAAATTCACAAGAGTAGTTGGAAATGTTGGAATTTCTAATATTTTTGCAGATAGAACAAATGGTATTTACTATTTGTTCTAATTTAATACTAATATATGTACAACAATTACAATGTATGGATGCGAGTACCATTGAATTTTTATATGTACGTTGATTTGTCATTTTTGTATCAAATTTTGTTTTAATAAAAAAACACATAACAAATAGTACTTTGAAGGTTATTGTTACATGTAATAATTAGTTTTTTTATTGTCAAATGTTATTGATTATCTAAACAACAATTACTTTTTAATTTTAATACAATATTGTGGTTAAAATTCAAATTATAATTAATTAACATTTGTAATTACAGATTATAACATTTATAAATTGTATCCTATTTGGATTTACACATATATAATATATATAATATATATTTTTTTATTTTTAAAATTCAATTCAGAAAAATCATTTGTTATTTTTCTGTTTTATTTTGCAGAAAACGTTGATTATAGGGTCGATAATCACGATCCTTCTCGAGTTTCGGGAATCGGTGGCAGTTCTTCAAAATTCACAAGAGAAGTTGGAAATGCTGGAATTTCTAATATTTTAGCAGACAGAACAAATGGTATTTACTATTTATTCTAATTTAATACTAATATGTGTACATCAATTACAATGTATGGGTGCGAGTACCATTGAATTTTTATATGTACGTTGATTTGTGATTTTTGTATTAAATTTTGTTTAAATAAAAAAAAGACATAACAAATAGTACTTTGATTCTTATTGTTACATGTAATAATTAGTTTTTTTATTGTCAAATGTTATTGATTATCTAACAACAATTACTTTTGAATTTTAGAGCCCGTTTGGTAGCACAAAAATTGGCTTATTTGGCTGATTCGGCTGTAATTTATGAAGTTCTGGCTGAAGTGGCTGCATTTGACTGATTATGCTGATCTAAGAAAAAAATTATTTTAAATATATTTTAATAATAAAATAAAGAAAAAATTATACGTAAAAATAGCTAAAATGGTCATCTACAGTAACTTCAGCCAATACAACCAAAAAAGTAACTTCAACCTTACTTTTTCTGCTTATGTTGTTTACAAAGAAGTTTTTCAGAATTTATAGTTTCACTTAAAACAATTATTATTTTACTCCCCACTAAATAGTTTCAAATGTTATATCTCTCTTTTAATAGTTACATTTGACTATGCCAAAATTAATTACATTAACACTTCATTGGTGATGTTAGAATTTCTCTTTAACTACAAACATTTATTATATTAAGCAGCACTTTAGTTTGCATTCAATTTATCTTGAGTTTTTATAATATACTCCTTCTGTCCCCCTATAATTGTCCCATTTTTTCATTTTTGTATGTCCCTTGACTCCCTTTATTGTTGTCACATAACATATTTGGTAACATTTGTGTGGCTCTAATTCATTCTTACTTTATTTCCACTTTATCAACTCATTATCAACCACATACTTCTACTTTTCTTAAAAATCACACCACTCCCTTCCGTATCTAGTGTATATCAAAACAATAGAAGAGAGTTCACAAGTCATATTCCGTGATTTAACTCCAATGGTTTGGAATGCAAACCTTTTCTCTTCACGATTGCATTTAAATTGTTAAACATATCTGTGAAGGAAGAACTAATGAGGTTAAATTCACTGAGATTCGCAGTCATCATCCGAAGATCAAATTACATGAGATCTTAAAATTAAACAACAATAATAACTGGAGTATAATAATAGATGTTGCAATTATAATTCATCTTAAAATATCAATTCTATAGAATCGTCAAGAATGTTCTGTAAGTGTGAGCTTCTCCCTTTTTCTTTTGAAGAATCTGCTAATCCCAAAACCTTTTGTGTGCCCCTGCCCCCCCACACCCCACTCACTGAACGAGTGAGCCCAAACTTGCCACAGTAAATGATATTTTGTGAGTACTGTTCTGCAAATGAGGAAGGAATACAAACGCTGAATCGGTAGTACTCTTAGCTTGTTCTTTTCATTAGATATGCAACTGAACACCCCAGCAAAGCACCAGCCACAACCTGTGCCAACACCATACCCAGATGAATACTACGCAAGGAAGCATGCACCACAGACTGCCTTAATCCCAACTCCCTTGATGTCAGAAGCAAAATAAAATGCATCAAATCAATTAAATGTCTAAAACTAGTTTATGCATAGTTGAAGAACCTCAGCCTTTCTGAAGAAAGAATAATGAGATGAAACTCATGATTCATCACTGTGCGATGTTTTTCTCCAATTGCATGAAGATTATAATGGGAAATTGATGGGCTGTTACAGTCATATGTAATCTTGCAAGATTTTGATTGTAAAATCAACATTCTCATCATGGAAGATAACACAACATAGTACTTGGCTCACTATTAAAATGACCTAACGAGATTCCTCATAAAACCAACTTTTAACCTTTAAGATATCATATACTCATATATGAAGAATTCCCTAGAAGTACATCAGCCCCAAGGAAAACAATCTGAGTTTCCATGGGATCCAAATCCCACCATCTCACATGGAAATAGATTCCCTTATTCTCATGGAAAATGAAACTACTTTACATGGAAACTGGAACGTAAGTATTGTTTGGTGTTTCAAGTAGGGCATAAAATTCTCTCCTATTTTGGTGTTTGGTAACTTTCCACATAAAACAAACAGACTTAGGCTAGTTGCAACACTTGGGTTTTAAAAGTAAATAAACCCAAATTTGGGTCTATTCACTCCAAATTAGTGTACAATGAATGTCAATATGTGGGAATATAGCCTTTTGGAGAGGAGATGTCCACCCCACATTCACCTCAAGTGGCCCACAGGTAAAACACATTTTGGTTTGGTTTGTTTTCTCGGTAAACATATGAATAACAATAGACTTTTTCTCATTTTGTTTTTGTATTCTTGGATTAAGAAGAATAGGCAGAAGCAAAAAAAAATTGTTTAACATGGAAGTCTTTGATTTTTAAATAAATTACTAATTGTAAAAGTTACGACCTTTAATTCTTTTCTCGAATCAAATGATTAGGGTTTTATTTTTGTTGGAGTACAAAATACTAACGGAGTGAATATATTGACTCTTCTTGGAGTGCACCAAAAAATTAGATTGATGATGGAATCAATACATTATTTTTGTATCGAAGAGTTAATATTTGGGTTTATTGACGGTGTAGGGATGTAGATAGTCTTATCTACGGTTCGGGCTGTTGGCCAATTTTTTAGTTTTCTGATTTTGAAAATCAAAAGTTACAAGATGGGTAACATGTTAATCATCTATTCATTTTAATTTCGAAAAAAAGTCAATGGAAAATTCAAAACCATATTTTTGGTTTCCAAAATCAAGTTTGTCATTATATGAAAAACTAAAAACTGACCATCACTCCAAACGGGGCTTTGGAGCAGAGGAAAAAGGGAAACATATATATCAAGTCATATATTTGCAAAAGGAAATAAAACATGAGTGTATAGTGGTGGAAAACATTGCATTTATTTGAGGATGCAAAGATACCTGAAGAGGTGTGTGACCAAGAGAATCTCTCAAAGGTTTAACAGTAGACACTGGATGCTCGGGTGGCAATTCACAAACAATTTGATTTAACAACTGCAGAGAGTATAAATGTTGATCATGCATTCAGAATATTTAGGACCCAATAAGTAAACAGAACTGAATGCCATTTGCACCATAACAGAGCTTGAAAATTTACTTCAGCCTGTCGACCAGCATGTTGCCTAACACCAGTAGCATCATACATTACCTATAAAAAGAAAAGGAAATTGTTGGAAAAAATTGAATGATAATTTTCATTTGTGTCACACTATAAGGAGGTTCCAGATGTAGTTTTAGTTTTACTTTATTTCTTTTCCTTTTTTTCTGAGAACTTTCGAAATGGAGCATGCTATTGTCTAGAGTATCAGACAATTTTGAATATATGCCATGCAGCCATTGTATACTATTAACATATACATGGATGCAGGAAATAAATTTTTGTAGATTTGTAGACATATGCAACACATAAAAGTGATAAACTGTAGAGTTGTAGGAATTTTTATAGCTACACATTATAGTCCGGAAAATTTACCTCACAAAAAGTTGCAATAATTTGGGAGCAGCGGGAGGTGCAAGGAGCAATATATATAATTAAGATGGTGTGTAAAATAGAAAGTACATACAACACATGCTAAAACCACTGCAATTGCAAAAGCAGATCCACCAGTTCCATCCTGAAATCCGATTGCCACTGCAAGGGCAGTAACAGTTGCAGAATGAGAAGAAGGCATTCCACCAGAGCTAAGCATCCTTCTAGAATCCCATCGCTTCTCCTTAAACCTGTTAACTCTAACACCACAGATTAAATTCAAATGGAAAATAGAAGCACATTGTTGAAGACTGGTACATAACCCTACAAAGTCACACCACACTAAAAAAGACTCAAGCTAATAGGTTAACATGTCTAACTCAAGATCTAGACCTTATGAACACAAGCAGCTCTCTTTAACCTTGCAATGTAACCTTAGTAGAAGAATACTCATTTAAAGTTCAAGTACAACTGCCTGAATGAATTGTAGGTGGAAACGCTTACAAACAAATAGTCAAATATTACAAGTAACTACCATAGGCAAATTCGGAAAAAGATTTGCTCTTTGAATGATCGATTAGTTCTCTTGCAATTGGACACTAATTACACGGTAATGTAGATACAATATACTAGCTGCTCAGAGTTAACTTAATTCAATGGCATACGAATAAAATCAAAGCTGAAAGGGAAAGGACTTGCCAAGTTGTGAAAACCTTTAGAAACTGAGCCAGAGCGCAGGCAAGGAAAGCCGTGGCCATGGGCAGGTTAGAAGGCCCGACTGACGGTTGGAGTGAGTAGGATCTTAGGGCTGAGGAGGCATCTCCCGCCGTAATCACCTCGTTCATTGTTGATAGATTTGGGGAAGAAGCGAATTCGGGAGGTCCGACGATATGATCTAACCCTCTGCTCAAACGGACGGTTCGGTGAAAAACGGCCAAGCGCCGCCGGGTGCAGCTGATCGGGGGGGTCCAATCTGAGGGCGTGACGGAACTGCCTGCCGGTTATCTCTTTATTGTTCCCATCCCAAGCGGATTTTTATTTAATTTTACTTCTAAGCTACGTAGTTTTTTGCCGCTTGATTTTTAGATTTTTATTATCTACTCAACCCAAACGGTGCATAAAAGTGTCACATGAGATGAGTAAAGACAAGATGTTAATCACCAAGCAAAAGTCACTTTGCAAGTAAATCCCCAATTTTGAATATGTAATCCCTAGTATATAAAATACATCGAGTTTATATACCCAAAAAGTTATTTTAGTCTCATGATTATATCATTTTTCATTAGAGTTTGTTTGATTATTCTGTTTTTCAGCTTATCAAACTTATTTTCCACTAAACATGTAACTTTTTATTTCACTTGTTGAATTGTATAATAATAATGTAGGATAGATACATGCTTGTTTTCTGTGGTACCTTAGCATTTACCAAAATACTACTTACGTCTCATTAAATTCTTCTCGGTTTGATTACGATCGGAGTTTAAGGTGAGAATAAAGTGAAAATATATGATTTAATTGAGTAAGAAAAGAGTAATGAAGGTTAACCACACGAAACTTTCAAAATACAGAACTATGAGGATTTTTGGGATATCTCAGAAGGGTAAGTCGGAAGAATTGTTATATTTGTATACAATTTATAAATTTTATACTTTTATAATGATGAATTTTGAGTAAGGAACATTTTGATATTATTTTCATATTCAAAATAATTTCGTAATAAAAGATACTCCTTCCGTCCCTTAAAATTTTGCTATCTTTTCTTTTTGGGACATCCCAAAAAACTTTGTCACTCTACCTTAAAATTATTTTGTGGTTCCTTTTATTTCTCTCTCTCCTCACCACAAACCTTTGTCACATAGTTTTAATTTTATTATTCTTTGTGACAGTTAAACTTGATAAAATTTTAAGGAACAATAGTACAATTGATCAATGTTGATTGTGTAAATAATATACTCCCTCCGTCCCAATTTACTTAGCCGTCTTTGACTTTTTCAGTCAAAGGTGGTAAATTTTGACCAATTATTTAAATTAATACGTAGTATATTTTTAATATAAAGATGGCTAACAAAGAACATTTTAATTTGACCAATTTTATACTTTTATGATAATACTTTTAACAAAGAACATTTTCATATCATTTTCATATTATTAATACTTTCTCTATATAAACGTATAATCGGTCAAAGTTAGACGTCATTGACTTGAAAAATCAAGTTTGGCTATGTAAAATGGGACGGAGGGAGTAATTTCATATTTCATATTTTCAATTTGACGCGAGGAAGTGTATAAATGAATGTACTCCCTCCGTTCCGAATTGAATTGCAAACTTTGACCGGCACGTGGATTAAGAAATGACAATAAATGATGCTTGTTTTTTACCTTTTTACCCATCTTTCTAAAAGTAGATGCCTTTAAGTTAATGGGGAAAAAGTAAAAGTAAGGGTAAATTTCTCACTTTATTCTTATTTACATACCTAAAATAGAAAGTGAAAACGATTTTGGGACAACCAAAAAAGAAAATTTTGCAAATTAAATCAAATTGGGACGGAGGGAGTAGATTTTATGGTATTTAAAGTGTGAGCCATAATATATAGGGAGCTGAGGATAAACAATTTCAAATTTTATGACACGTAGGGATAGACCCTCAATAGGGAGCCACGTTGTCATTACATTGCATGCATTTCCACTCTCGCCCTCTATATATAAGCAAATAAATCGATACAATTCTTAATTGGTATGGCCGGATAAACAATGGGCGGGGCCCACCTTCTAAGTCTCTTCAATTCCTCCTCCTCAGGGGCAGCTTCCAGGCTCATGAGCCGTCTACCTGCGGTGGTCTCGGAGTCCCAGAGGCGTTTGTCAAACCACCATGGTGGCGGTGGCGGGGTGGTGGGAGAAGACGATAAAGCAGCCACAACAGAAGAAGAGTTCAAACGGGTAGCTGAAGAAAAGGAACGCTGCCGCCGCCACAGGCTTGCTAGTCAGACTGTCGACAAGGCAGGAGATGGTGCTTTTGAAGCTGCGGCAGCTGCCACGGTCGACGGAAGCAGCGGCTCTGATTTTGAATCTGTGAAGGAGACCTTTAAGCATGACCAACCCTCATCGCCACCGCCGCCAAGGTAACTTAATTCCCTGGGCTGCACGCGGCGTGCCCGCCCGCAGAGATGGGATGGATGCATGTGAGCTAGCTAGGGTGGTATATGTATGTATGATACGGAGTATTGTACATTTGTACTAGTATATGAATATATGGAGTATGTGTTCACTCCACGTCCAAGTAACTCTTTTCTATGTTTAATGCACCAAACCTTCCTGATAGGGCGCATTAATCACAAAATAATTAATGTGTCAAACTCTCTTGTGTTTTAATTAATTATGCACAAAATCTCTTCTATAAACAAATTCAATTGTCAAATAAAAGAAAAATGATTAACATTTTTGTATGATTTAGAAATTTTGACATATTTAATTGATTAAATTTATTCATAAAAGGGATTATTTGCATGATTAATTAAAACACGGGGGTTTCACGCATTTTTCAAATCACAGGGGTTGCATGATACGATGAATTTTTATATCGAGGGGGTTGGCGCATTAATTTATTAGAAACTTAGAAAGGGGTCTCTAAGTAGGACTAAAGTTTAGATAAAACGTACCCATATTTTATTCTCAAAAAGTATAAACTTCCCTTATTATGATTGAATAAATCTCATTTTAGGAAAAAAAAACAATGACAATCATATATGTAGATGAGGTAAATAAATTGTGGATTAAAAATCTTATGAATTTCAAAATAAATAGGAATAAGTACAAAAATGTGATCATTGGACTTAGGGTTGGGCAAAATGATTTGATTTGACCGAACCGAAAATTGGTCGTTTGGTTTGGTTTGGGTTTACTTAAGTAAACCGATTGGTAGAAATTTTCTCAAACCGAATGGTTTGATTTGGTTAAAAACCGAAAAACCGTAAACCGAACCGAACACCGAATAACATGTAAATAACTTATAAATACTTTGTATTTTTCTTCACTCTTTATCTTCAGTATATAAATAATTTAGACATGAAAAATACAAATTTGGCATATATCATTTTAACTTTTACATATTTCATACATTCATTATGACAAGATTAGCTAATAAGACATATTTGTATTTGTTATGTTTCATTCTCTACATGTATGAAAAGATATTTGGCAATAATAATAGCAAATTGCATTTATATTTTTTTACATGATTCATTTGAATAAAGTTGTGAATATCACAACGTTTAGTTTTCTTTGAATATTTTATTTTATATTTTAAATGATAATCAACTACAAATTTATTTTTTTATGAGAAGTGAATTTGTTTCTAGTGATTGAAAAGATGTTAGAAGTTTTAATTTATACGTAGTAATTTTTTTTATTTTTTTCATCCTTTATTTCCTTTTATGTTTTATTTAAATAATAAATAAAAGAAGATGAGATGAACTACTACTTTCATTTTATATTCTAAAATATAGAACTTGATCAAATAAACTACGGAGTAATAAACATAAGAAACTCAATCAAATCAAACTAAATTGAACCCAATAATTTGCACTTTGGTAAATCGAACTTCGAACCGAACCGAAATACAAGTGGTTTTAGTTTGGTACAAATTCTCCTAGATCGAATAAACCGAAATCGAACCGAAACCAAAGAAAACCGAACCGTAAACTGAATTGCTCATCCCTAATTGGACTTTCTAATTCCAATTAGAAAGTCCAATTATGGTGCTAAATAGGAGCTTAACTTATGGTATGTAATTAAATAAGAGCTTGACTTTTTTTACTCCTTAATAGGACCTAATTTTAGGAAGTTTCCAAAATTGTCACTGTTTCTTAAACTAATACAGAAGCTCAGGTTGCCGTTATTTTCTTCTCTCGTTCAGCTTCGCCTTCAAATTAGATGATCTTCATCTCACCTTCGATTCATCTGCTGCGATCGATGAACTGTTGTCATCGATCAACTGCTGTGATATTCACAGACTATCGCTCACCTGTTAGTTGCTACGATCACACAGTTTTATCGTTCGCTTTTTGTTTGCGACAATCATCTTCGCCTTCATCTTCGTTTTAAATTTCAGGTAATTAATTTTATATTCTTGAATTGTATGATGATTGTGTATCAGAATTGTTTTCATTTGTGTTTACTTGTTGATAGTCGTATGAAGTTTTATTGTAGTTCTATGATTAGGAGAGCTGGAAGTATTATGAATGTTTTATCATCATTATCGTTTTTCCTGTCTCTAATCTTCTTTAATGTTCATTATTTTTTCCTTCTTTTCATATTTCTTATTACATACGCTTTACTCTTATGGATTTATCTTTGGTTTGACATCGTAGATAATTCATGACATTGTTTTAAATTCATGTCATTTGTTGTATTTCCAGGTGTCGCAGACATGGATAATAATATTCTTGTCATGGTTAAAGTTGATGGATACTGGAATCCTGATAATGTGTTTCATAATAAACACACGCTTGGTGTTTCTGTTTTGTTTGGTTCTTCCTATAGTGATTTCTGTGATAATTTGATACATAACATTTTCAAGGGAAGAATCGATAAAGATTTTAGGATATCTTACATTGTTGAGTCATGTCCTCCCCCTGTTTTTATAGATGATGATACAAGCCTTACTTTTTATCTAACTTTGAAAACCTTACATCCATCTTTTTCCCAGTTTCCAATTTGTGTTGAGTTCATTGCACATCAAGTTCCTTCAAAATGTCATACTTCTCATAATACTTCTATCCTCATACCTTCAGAAAGTATATCATTTGATTCACCAAGTGTTCCCTCTTCTTCTTCAGTTGATTCTTTTTTGTCAACTGGTGTTTATAAGGATGTTAAAGTTTATACGCACACTGATCCTACCACTATAGCATTGTATGCTATATACAAGAATAAACATGATCTTATAATCACTTGAAGTTGTATGCCATTGAGAACAACTTTCAGTATGTGACTAAAACTTCAAGAAAAGAAAGTTTACATGTTTTTTGTCCTGATGAGAAATGTGAGTGGGCTGTTCGTGGTGTTCGTCTTTCTGGTGTGGACTTCTTTCAGATTCGCAGGTTCAATTGCAACTTTAACATTTTTATTTATTTATTTATAGTTGTAATTATCAGTTACATTAACTTTAATTTTCACTTCTTCTTTTTCAGATTTGATTCAACTCATTCTTGTTCAGTGGATTTCAGAGAGGGTGATCACAAGCAGGCCACTTATGACATTGTTGCAGGCATGGTTATTCATCGTTACTCCAATGCTTCTAAGAAACCCTATCCGCCAAATGACATAATTGACGACATCCGTAGAGAATATGGCATCTCTTTGTCTTACCGTAAAGCTTTGGCAGTTGAGCGACATTCAATGAAGCTTCTCTTTGGATTCGATGAAGAGTCATATCAATTATTACCTTCCATGTGCCATGTCATTGGAAAAGCTAATCCACAGTCTGTCATAACTCTTGTTCGTCATGCTGATTCTGTTTTCAAGTACATGTTCATGTCATTGTCTGCATGGAGGGAAGCTTGGGATCACTGTATTCCTGTCCTAACAGTTGATGGTACTTTTATGAAGGGCTATTTCAAAGGGACTTTGCTCACTGCCTGCACCAGGGATGCCAACCGTCAGCTTGTTCCATTAGCTTTTGGGATATGTGATTCAGAAAACAAGGATTCATGGAAATGGTTCTTTTCACAGTTGAAACTGGCTTTATCTTATAGACACAATTTATATATTGTTTCTGACAGGAATGCTGGAATTATTAAGTCTGTTAAAGATGTCTTTCCTTCAACTGGACATGGTTATTGTGTTCACCATTTAGCTGGTAACATTCGGTCGCAGTTTAAGGGTTCTGCTGATGGTAAAGAGTGGAAGTTTAATGCTGCAGCACGAGCTTCTACTTACAAGGAGTATCAAGAATATATGGCTTTGTTAGATTTGGAGGATCCTCGTATAAGAGCATATTTAGATAAGATTGGAAGTGATAAGTGGGCAAGGTGCATGAGTGGTCCGTATAGATATAATATCATGACTTCTAACTGGGCTGAGTACATGAATAATGTCAACATTTGTGCTCGAGAGTATCCAGTAGCAAAATTAATTGATTTTATTCGTGAGCGAATGCAAAAATGGTTTACAGAGCGTCGTGATTTAGCACATTCAACTACAACTATTCTGCCTAAAGAGCGTGAACATGAGCTTATAGTTCTGCAACGTGAAGCATTTCGTATGCAGGTATGACATTGTGTTTGTTAATGTTTGACATTGCTTGTTAAAGTTGTTGACACTGTGTTTAAATCTTTGACATTTTCTCATAATAACTGAATTGCATTTTATTTTTCCTTTTTGCTTAGATTAGTTATTTACTGTTGCAGGTGAAGCCTTCTTGTGCTTACGAATTTCAGGTTGTTTATAGGCGCTGTCGATCTTTTGTTGTTGATTTGAAGAAAAAAAATTGCACATGCTGTGCATTTCAATTGGATCAATTTGTGTGTACATGCTGTAACAGCGATTTCCAAAGCACCAAACATGTCATGTTATGATTTCATTTCACCTTTTTATAAACGTGACGTGTTGTGTGCTACTTACAATGGGATTGTTCATCCAATTTGTGATGTTGCTGCATGGAATGTCCCTGCTGATGATGTTCAAAGTATGATCTGCAAACCACCTAAGTGTGAAAAGAGGCCAGGTAGAAGGCCAAAGAAGAAGAGGATACCATCTGTTGGAGAGTTTCCTACATTTAAAAAATCAAAAAAACAGAGGTGTTCACGTTGTACTGGTGTTGGGCATAATCAGAAGACTTGTAAAAATCCAATTCCCCATGTTTAAAAAAATCAAAAAAACAGAGATGTTAAAGTTGTACTGGTGTTTTTGCACTTTAGCAGTACATTTTTACTGCTAAATACTATTGGTGTATTTGACATTCTTATATTTAGAATGACACTTTTAAATGTAATTTCTGAAATTTATATTGAGAATGGCATTCTGGCTATAAAATCATTCTCATTGTCATTACATTTTCAATGTAATTTTTCAATATCAAAGATATTTGGATAATGCCATTTTCTATTTTTTCAATATCATTTGCAATGTCATTACAATGGTAATGTAAAGACGCATTCTGGCAATAAGATCATTGTCATTGTAATTACATTTTCAATGCAATGTCATTTTCTACTTTTCAATGTCATTTGCAATGTCATTAGAATGATAATGTAAAGACAATGAATGCATTGATATTGTGAATGTCATTGAAATAACAATGCTATTTCAATGTCAAAGATATTGTCATGACATCTGAGATACTGTTCAATAAAATGGAATGACATTCAAAATGCACTATAATAACATTGGAATGTCATTTGCAT